TTACAATCGACGACTGCCGATCTCCTTCGTTCCCTGCCACTTCGGGTATTCCGCAAGGTAGCCACCTCGGCCCGTTGATATATCTTGTGTATTTCAACGACGTCAATTTCGTCCTCGACGGTCCACGACTGTCGTTCGCAGACGACATGAAAATCTATCTCCGAATCCGAGCCATCGCTGACTGCCACCTTCTCCAACTTCAACTCAACGCTTTTGCTAATTGGTGCCAACTGAGCCGCATGGTTGTAAATCCAACAAAATTTTCAGTAATCACGTTCTCACGGAAGAAACATCCAATTACATTCAGTTATATCCTAGAATGCGTTGACGTACATAGTGTGAATCACATTAAGGATCTGGGAGTCATCTTAGATTGTCAACTCACATACAGTTAGCATATCTCGTACGTGATCGACAAGGCATCCAGAACGCTCGGCTTCATTTCCAGGTTAGCTAAAAGTTTCACGGACATCTACTGTTTGAAGTCGCTTTACTGCTCCCTCGTCCGGTCGGTGTTAGAATACTGCTGCCCTGTATGGAATCCCAATGTACAAAGAGTAGAGTCTATTCAACGACGATTCATCTGGTTTGTCCTTCGACGATTGCCCTGGAGGGATCCTCATCGCCTTCCAAGCTATGAAAGTCGGTGCCAGTTAATTCACCTGGATCCTTTGTGGAGTCGAATAGATACGACAAGGGCCCTGTTTGTGGCAGACATTCTACAGGGCAGAATCGATTGTCCTTCTATTCTACAACAAATCGACGTTAACGTTCAACCACGAGCACTCCGCAACAACGCAATGCTGAGGATACCTTTTCGTCATACAAACTATAGTTCGTATGGTGCCATCAATGGGCTACAAAGGGTTTTCAATCGTGTTGCTTCCTTATTTGATTTTCACTTGGCACGCGAGATGCTGCCGTCAGAGATTCCGTGATATATTTTTAATCATTAGGAATTAAGTTGGACTTCACGGCCTTTGTAGCTTGTTACTTCTTGACTAAGCCCAGTCTGTTGATGTAGAAACAAATAAACAAGTAATTGATAAATTGCCAAAGATATCCTGAGACAAGTTCCAAATATAGTTAAGTTAATGCAATCACAATTTTCATGATCCCTTCTCTACACAGAAATGCAAGATCCAGAATTTAGAAAATAATAAAAATAAGATTCTGAGATTTCGATTGACAAAAATTTAAAAAGAACAGGGCTGGTAGCGATCAATGCTGTCAAAAATAGTGATTTTAGTGACCATGTTGAAGAAATAAGTGACCAAATAGTGACTTATAGTTGTAAAAAAGTGACCTAAGGGTAGAAAATTAGTCGTCCTGATGGCATACAATATATGTAAATATTTGATGTTTTAGACTTATTCAATTAGATTCTCATAAACACCTAAATATGTAAGATAGAAACCACTAAAGCGAAAGATTCAATAGAAAGTTTATGGCTTCTACTATCTGGAAAACCCCTTTTACTGAAAATACCTGGAAGGGAAGTGTCAGGGAATCTTATCATTATTCAAGAAATTTAATCATTTTCTTTCTAAGAATGCATTTTAAAATGATAAATAAAATAATATTCCTAGTTATTTTCATTCACACATTGAACTCTGGATTAATCTTCAGGTGAAGCCTAAGCCTAAGATAGTAAACTCCAAGCGAATGTTCATGAGAAATCTACGTTGAATATGGAATGGACTATTCTGAGGTCTTCAGAACTACTTGAAAGTTCCCAAAATATTCCTGAAGTTAATTAAATTGCCTTGAAGTTCTTTTGTAGTTTGAGAAACTAGCCTGATGCTCGCAATACTTCTCATCATTGTTTTAAACTTCTCTAAACTTTTTCGGACTTCCTAAGGTTTCCACAATTTTCCTTACGATAATGAATCTTCTCGAAAGTGTTAAAATTCACTTAATTTCTCGAAACTTTTTTTAAAATTTATATAATTTCCCTGCTCTGGAGATATCTGTTCTTTCTTGAATTTCGTTGTTGTTTAGAGCTTTATTAGCGAGATCAATATCTTTCTCGAAGTTCTCGAAACTTCTCTTAACTGTTTGCAATTCTCATGAACCGATGAACCGACATGCCACAGGAGCATTTCGTTTGTCCACAATTCGAATTGTCAAACGAGCGATTCGAACTTTCAAACGGGCGATCAGTTCTGTTAAACGAGGTGAGACGCAAACCAAGGCAACATAAATTGTACGTGGGTTCGTGTCCTTGCTCATGGTATGACGCGATCGGATGAGTAGATGTCGGTAGTGTTTAACGTATTTTAAATATGGCGTCTTGGGCACGAATTTGAAAGTAGCTTGTATGAGCTGTCACGTCGGTTCGTCGGTGGTACTACTATGAATTTTGTTGAACTGTTCTAAAAATGCTTAAGCTTGCGTGAACTTCTGGACTTATGTGAAAAACTCAACAATTTTCTTAACATCTCCAAAGTTATCTGAAAATCTGGGAGCTTCTTGAAATTTCCCGCTAATTTAGTGAAACTAATGGAACTGAACTCCTCTGAAATTCCGATTTGTTTTTGGAGCTTTACTAAACTAATTTGAGATGCTCCCGAAATGTCCATAAAAGTTCCTGAAGTTCTCGGATATTTTCTTAAGTTCCATAGACTTTTATGAAGTTCTGGAAATGTTTCTGAAGATCTCTGTACTTCTTTGAGTTCTCTGAAGTTTTCGAAGTTATTCTGAAATTTCAGCAACTTTTTTAAGCTTCCGCAGCGAAATAATTAACATACTTCAATTCTTCGCAAGGTTTGTCTGAAGTTAAATTTATCGAAACTAATTCATAACTTTTTCAATAGTCTAGAGTTTCCTGATGTTTTTAAAACTGCCCAAAATATTTCTCGATTTCCTTAAACGACCATTTACTGATTGAAGTTCTACAATTTTTCTTACGTTTTATAAAGTTTATAAAAGCTTACGGAACTTTGCTTTAAATCACTAATTTTTCCTGAATTCTTAGACATCCCAGAAGTTTTCTATGCTTATTTTAATTATTTTAATCAAATGTTCCGGTAAATTTTCTGATATATATACTTATAATTCCCTGATGCTTCTAAAGTTTTCGAAATATCCCATAAATCTAAGGAACTCCTTGTAAGTCGCTGCAAATTTCCTTAAGTTAATGTGATTTTTCTTATGTTATCTGATCGTTCTCGAAGTACTCGGAACTTCACTGAATATAATGAAACAATCTAAAAATATCTAAATTTCTTAGACGTTCTCTGAAATTTCCTAAAAATATCGGTGGTTGCTAAAAGTTCTCATTTTTTTTTATTGATGGAACTTCGTTGATGTTCTCTTATCAACTTAGCTACATTTTCACATTTTTTTAATTTCTTGAAATTTCCATGATATAAATTGAAATTGAAATACTCTCACAATTTCCGGATGTTCATATAATTTTTATTGCGTTCCAGAAATTTTCTCTGAGCAAACCGAAATTTCTGGAAATTCCGGTTTCTGCAATTTGCTTGAAATTTTTTTGAACTGCCCTTTAATTCGTTGATTTGTCTTGATGTTCTCGGAGCTTCCCTAAAACTCTCAACTTTACTGAAGATCTCGGTTCTGCTTTAAAATAAATAGAATTCTCGTAAACACCTTTAAACTTCCATGGAATTCTCTGGATTCCTGTGAAGTTATTCAGAAATATTTCTGAAGTTTTCATAAATTTTCTGAAGGACTCTGTACTAAATCTTTCGGAACATCTTATGGGTTCTTGATTTTATTTCAGCACATCATGGAACTATTCTGAATTTGTCTAAACTCACGCATATAGATTTTTAAACCAATTCAATAGTCTGGGCTAAAGTTTAGGGGACTTCCCCTTAAGATCTCTGGAATTCCTTAAAGATCTCTAGATCTAACATTTTTTAGATCAATAAAACTTCATTGAAGATTCCACATTTTTGTTAGTACGAAACGTCACTACATTAAAAATGTTGTGATCTTAGACTTACTAAAATGAATTAAGTGTTCAAAAGAGTGTTGTCTGTCAAAGTCATAGGAAAAGTCATTCCAATCGAGCAGAAGACCTGTCAAATGGATAAGATGTCACCTTTTTTATAAAATCAGGCTCTTTAAAGTGTTCAACTTCAACATTTAATGGATTTGATAGTAGAGCTGTTTATTTACAGTCATGTCTTAAAAGCATTTGCGTTAAAAACATATTTTTAAAGCATTTCATAAATAGCATTCTTATTATAAACCTGGAAATTATCCGCCAAAGTTATGGAAAAACCTGGAAAACTCAGGGAACTTTATTTAGCCAAATGAGTGGACACCCTGTAGATAGAGAAGAACGATTAAACGTAAAAAAAAACTCTATACAAGGTCGTCAACTTCGAATTGTTCAAAAAATAGAATAAAATGTAGGCCTATTCAGAAGAATGATCAATCTTGAAATAAAGTCACGTTTAAAAAAGTTTAAAATAGTGACAAGAAAAAGTGACTTTAGTGACTTGGCCTTAAAAAAGAGACTTTTTAGTGACTGACTTGAAAAAAGTGACCAAGTCACTAAAAAGTGACTCGCTACCAGCCCTGAAAGAATGAGATCTCAAACCTGGATAAATTTTCTTGATTGCATAACATGAAAAGTTGTCTAGGATCTAAAACTAACAGAAATATTTAAAATGCTGGACATTGAACGACAACAAACTTTGGCGAAGTCAATTTTGAGACTTAGAACTTTTTTTAATTCTCACTGGAATCATTTACAAAAATTGTCGTGATCTTTAACTTTTTCAAAACTCTGGGGCATTGCTGTTTTCTTAAGATCTCCGTTAATTTCCGGTACTTCCGGTTCAGTTGAATTGAAATTGATTACTTCCTTAATGTGATATTAGAACGGAACCGGTTGACGCCTTCCACCAAATATCTATTTCTTTTGTTCTATTTAAAAAAAAATGCGTTTTTAATGAGTACAATACAAAATACATATATTCAAGTTTAAATAGAACCGTAAACAAAAAGAAATTACGAACAAATAATAAACTGCTTGGTTCGAATGTAAATTGTTTCGAAAATAGGGGGCTAAATATTTATATGTCAGTGAATGTTTACGTAATATGAATTTGTTATTATTATTTGGTCCAATCACACTCGGTCAAAACGCGTTCCTTTAAGTTCCATTTCGCATACTATCTAATAAGTAGTATAAAGAATATGTTATCGCTTCGAAAAATATATATGAATGCATGGCATGGCATGGCATGTGAAACTGCTTGTTGTAATACTTATTTACTGAACTGTACAAAACTCACGTAACTCTGAGCATACCTTCATCAACAACTTGTGGTCCGATTGTTAGAGTGTCCCCATGCTTTCAGAAGAGCTAAGGTTTTGTTCAAATGCGCACACCATTCCTCTCGTTCTTCCTTCGTATCTGCTGACAACAAGTGCCTGTAGGAGAATATAATCGTGTTGTCAATAATCGCTCCAATAGGAAAGAAATGTTGCACTTACCGCTGAATTGTAGTATTTCCCTGCCTGACCAAAACCAATGAATCGACGTCATCAGGTTGTGCCGCCCTTCGGAACTCTAACAGTAGGGTATTCAATCGAGCGCACACATCTCGTGGTGCAACTGATACTTTTTGAGTGCAGCAATTCTGCAAATCGATACTCCCGATCGGAGCTTTACGCTTCTCATCATCCGGATATTTCCAGTAGCTGAGCACATGACCATACAAGCGACACCAGCGCCTATGCCAAGCGCCAAATCCGGACACATCCTCGAACATGGTGAGGAAACCTCGATGGTCAACGGTGACCGTCAGTTCACAGTTTACTTTCATGTGCACGGTTCCCTCAAGTGGGCTTACACCGGAAACGGGATTCAAGGTCCAGTTGGTTCGTTGAATTTCTCGGAGGGAGAAAATTATGAAACCATACTGGACGAGCGCGGGAGTGCGAACCGCATGGGGACCGGCTGGTGACTGAACCGGTGGCATTATCAATCGTGAGTTGGATTTTACGCCCTTTGGCGTATGGAGCTTGCTGGATCCTTTCTTGTTCATTGCGATGTGATATTTAATCTCGTGCGGGAGGACTTCCCTCTGGGCGGTCATGCCGTAGATTTCCATTGTTATCTGTTTCGAAGCGGGATAGTAAACATTCAATGATAAGTAAATAGACCTGCATATGTAGATACTTTTATAACAATAATTACGAACCTTGAAATCAGCATAGACATTCGCTAGCTGTAGCACATCGGGGAATCGAACCGATAACAATCCGGGTAAGGTAGGAACGGATTGGGTAGCCAACACGGTATCATTGTACTTGAGGAGACAAACCAGATGGTGACCACTGATGGTATCGGAGGCAAGTTTCCTAATGTAGTCCTGCTTCAGTGGAAGTGTAATGTCCTTAACCGTGAGCCGGCCCTTTTCCGTCGGTGCACCCGGTAGTCTAATGCAACCTTCTACGCGAAGACGCTGAACCTCATCGAGGATCGCTTGCCGGCGATGGGCTGACAAATTAGGAATTTATGTTAAATTTATTTCGTTCGTTAATAACAGAAAATCGGCACTTACTTGCTACCAACAGGTGACGTTCGCCCTCGACGGATTCCGTTGAGCCAGAAAACTCTATTGTGGCCGCGCACAGATTCAACGCTTGGCTAGTCTGGGAAATAATTGTCTGCTGTTTGCACACTTCATCCAGGAGCTTTTTGATCTTTTCCTGGACAAGATATTCATTTTCACTGTCAGTCGCAGTGGCACATGAATTGCCATCATCCGAGTCCTCTGTGGTAGAATCTACGCTTGGTCGAGTGTGCACTGGCGTACGAAGGGTCTTCTTAACCGGTGTTGGATTATTTGAATTTTGCTGACGTCGATAGAAGCTGACTGTGTGCACCAGTGTGACCATATTGTTGTCATCTGATGGATTAATCTTGAGCTCGGATTTCACGGGACTGCTGAAGCCCTCGTCAACTGTGCGTTGTTGTTGCTGCTGCTGCTGTTGCTTTTGAGTAGGAGGAGATGGTTTTTGCGAATCCTTTTTCTCCTCAGTTTCTTCCTCATTGATAGTCTGCCATTGATTTTGACGTGGATTTTTCTGATATGAGAAACTATTGGAAGAGATTGACGATTTTTTCTGAAAGGAAACAGGAAAATTTGAATATGGTTCGACCAATATAAAATGCAATTGGTTTAGTATTCTCGCAGTTAAATAGGTTAGTTTCCACAATGATTAATGATCGTGAGTTTACACTTAAAACTCGGATGATAGTTTCACACAGTCATGCGCCCAAAGCGAAAGTATGCAGACATATAAGAAGAAAAAATCCTATCATCAGTGATCCTTACTGGTGTATCGAATTCTCCCTCATCGTCCTCGTCAAGTGCTTCCTCCAGATACTGATCCATGTCGTCTAGCACGCCGGAAAGTTCACTGTTCGAGCTGTTCTGGCTGTATCCGGACTGCCGCTTTACGTTGCCAGGATGTACCTATAAAAATTTTAATCGATTGTGGGGGGTGCACAAGTTAAAATCAATCCTACGTGCTCCAAAAACTACCAAATCCAACTGAACTCAAAGAAGTACACACTATTTGAATGAATATCTCTTATGTACATACCCTTCTGTCCTGGCTCTGTCGTCTTCCACCGTGACTAGCGTGACGGTCCTGCAGCTTCACTGCCTGCATGATTTCCCGCCCGAGACTTACGTCGCAGATGTTCTTGGCGTCGGAATCAGACTCTTCTTCGTCCGAGTACATGTAACTGTAAATGTACGAAATAGGTGATCAGGGGATTGCAATGGATATGAATTGCGGTGCCACCTAACATTAGTCAAAGTTGATATGGAAATTAGATAACTATTTTTTTCGTTTAACATTCAACGGAGTAAATATTGTAATTCGTTGTCGGAAACCTCCGGCGAACGTTGCCTCCCTCAGGCGACATGCGTAACTAAAGTGCCTTTCTATCCGCATAGTGAAAAATAAAATCCGCCTAGCGAATTTGTTTTCTATCCGGGTTGGAACCAGTGCGAACCTCATCGTGAGGCTGGTTTTAAAAACATTGACAGAGCCAATCTTGATACCCGATCCAGGTTGGTGTGGTATCTATCCTACTTCGAACAATTTATATTTAGTGTGTAATACATGAAACGATGCGCAAAGAAGCTGAAAATCCACGCGGGATAAATCGGTACTACACCTTCCAACCACAAGGACGAACAAGCGTAAAAGAGAATCTCTCGGTGATGTTGACGATTTCGAAGGGTTCTCTTTTTTAACTTTATTTTTGAGATTTTTAGCCGTAGGCTAGTTCATCTCGTCCATGAAAGGTGGACCGAAACCGAAAATTGGTTCCTGGCTCGATCGTCCATCTACACTACATATTAAACACAACATTAAAATCTGAATAAGATAGAGCTCCGGGGAACCGGGAAGGGCCCACACCAGGCAGAGATGTCCCAACAGCCGAAAGGAATTAAAAAAGACTAAACTTTAAAATACAATGCAGCATCCTTTAAAAAGCGCAGTACTGCTGCCAGTGTGGAGGGATCTTCACCCAGCATGCTACGGTTTCTTATGACTTCCGTAAAGCTGACCACCGTAGCATCATAGATGTATTGTCTAGCATGGTATGGGAGAACATCCTTGATCCAGATGACGTTGAGGCTGCAGCGCAAACCTTTTCACATGTCTTGACATATGTCATTGATAGACACGTCCCGAAAAGAACTCACCACAAAGTGTCTCACCCTCCCTGGCAGACGAGAGAGCTACGTAGGTTGAAGTCAATCAAGAGAGCAGCATTGAGAAGATTTACGAAGTATCGCACGCTTCCTCTGAAACTACATTATGTGAGGCTAAATCACATGTACCAGCGAGTCAGTCGTGAATGCTTTTCAAGTTTCCAACGAGGCATCCAGCGCAAACTTAAGCTACACCCGAAATCCTTTTGGAACTACGTGAACGAGCAACGTAGGGAATCCGGCTTCCCATCGTCTATGGAATTCAACGGAGAAGTTGCTGCCACCGTTCAGGATATATGCCACCTTTTTCCGAAAAGTTTGCCAGTGTATTCACTAATGAGATACTAACTGACGACCATATTAACCTGGCTGCCAGAACGTTCCAGTAAATGATCAAACGCTGGATGCAATTGATGTTAATGCAGACCTGATGGAGTTCCATCTGTATTTTTGAAGAAACATATTGCTAGCTGTTAATTCCGCTTCTTCGCCTGTTCCGAATGTCTCGCTCCAGTGGCATATTTCCATCTTGCTGGAAATTTGCGCACATGTTTCCCGTCCACAAAAAAGGAAGGAAACGAGCTGTGGATAACTATCGAGGAATTACATCGTTAAGTGCCGTTTCGAAGCTATTCGAGCTAGTGATTATGGAACCGTTGCTGTCCCATTGCTGATCAACATGGGTTTACTGTCGGCCGCTTTACAACCACCAATCTGCTGTCTCTCATCGTATATAACCGAAAGCATGTCGGATCGGGTTCAAACGGACGTTATTAATTCAAACATATCCGCAGCATTCGACAAGTTGAACCATGCTATTGCGATTGCTAAACTCGGCAGGCTCGGTGTATGCGATAATCAAGCTGAACATTGCATTATGTCCTAAGTAACATTGACAGATTCTCTTCGTCGACTTTCTCTTTGTATTCCCACGGCTATGTAAAAACATTCCCAGGAATTTTCAGCACACATAACGATAAATGATACTTTTATCTAGCATCTAATACGACAAATGCAACAAGAAACGAAATTGTGCTCAAGTTATTAACGAAATAGAAAGTCGACGAAGAGAATCGATCAATGTTACTTAGGACCTAATGCAATGTTCAGCTTGTAATCTTCTGAGTTGATTTCGATCATATCTTACCGGTCGGCAACTAAAGGTTGCCATAGGAGATTGCAGATCAGCCACATCAAGTATACCTCAGGGAAGCCACATGGGACCGTTAATTTTTACTGTATTTCAACGACGTGCATCTGGTCATCGAAGCTCCTCGGTTGTCATATGCAGATGACCTCAAAATCTTCCTAAGAATCTGCTCCATTGTTGACTGTCACTTTCTTCAACGTCAACTGAATGTATTTGCTAGTTGGTGCAGGTTAAACAGAATGGTAGTGAACCCAGCCAAATGCTCCGCTATTACGTTCTCACGAAAACAACAACCGATAATATTTAGCTATGACCTGCTTGGCTCGACAATCGATCGCGTGAATCAGGTGAAAGACTTGGGTGTGATCTTGGATTCGCAGCATTCATTCAAGCAACACATTGCATACGTTGTTGATAAGGCGTCAGGAACTTTAGGGTTCATTTTTAGGATAGCTAAAAACATCACTGATATCTACAGTCTAAAATCTCTCTATTTTTCGCTTGTTCAATCGACGCTTGAGTATTGTTCAGCGGTTTGGAACCCAAACTACAACAACGGTGCCGAGAGAATTGAATCTGTTCAACGTCGCTTTCTTCGTTTTGCGTTGCGTAGATTGCCTTGGAATGATCCGTTTCGATTACCCAGTTACGAAAGCCGTTGTCAACTTATCGACCTAGAACTTCTCCGGACTCCTAACCGTGGCCGATATCCTGCAAGGAAGGACAGATTGCGAGGCTATCCTGAGGCAAATTAACCTGATTGTTCAACCCCGACCGCTTCGTAATAACCTTATGCTAAGACTGCCTCTACGTCGCACAAATTATGGAGCGTACGGTGCGATTTGCGGACTGCAGAGAACATTCAACAGAGTTGCATATGTTTTCGACTTTCATCGCTTCGTCGAAAGTTTTCTTCTGTTTTTGGCCGGCAGGAGTAACTGACTATAAGATAATATATTATATTTTATATTTTATATAAATATACAATATTTTATAGGTTCTGATACTGGGGGCATACACATAGAATGTGCTCGATTGAGGCTGGAGTTCTACAACCAACGCAAGTCCTGTGGAACGGCGTTCCACCGAAATTGTGCGAGATCTTGGTGTGACCGGTCCTCAAACGCGACGCTATCTTCTGATCCCGCTGGTTCAACTGTTCTGTCCATTTCCTCGTCATCCCTTGGATCCGTCTGATGAAGAGAGAGCGGTTTTGGGCCCACTCTGCGTCCCAAGCTTCCCGTAATTTGCTCACGATCCAGCGCTTGACATCGTGTAACGGTACTTCGTTGGTATAGCGAGGGGCAGATGGTCCTGCTCCAGCCAGTAAGTCAGTTTTAGGCTTGCCTGGTATTCCGCAGTGCCCCGGAACCCAGCAGAATACCGTGTTTGGTGGCGCGGACTTCATGGTCGCCTTTACCCAGGGATGAGTCGGGGCCTCGGATGTCAGGACTTGTATGACGCTGTGCAAATCCGCGAGGACCAGGATCGGTCGGTCGGATAGCGTTGTAGCAGCGGTGAAGATGGCAGCAGCGTCAGCAGAGAAGACAGAACATTGCGGCGGTAAGATGCAGCTGGTTGGTGTGATGTTTCCTGCTAGACCGATACCGACCTCGGCCCGAGAGCGAGATCCGTCCGTGTATCGGTGAGTGTGCGTGGGATATTTTTCTCCTAACATTTCAGAAATGGTGTTTGCCAGTATTTGTCTCCATGCCAGTGGACCCTGGCCACTGGGGGGAGATCTTCGTTGGCAGCCATGTGGAGGAGTCTGTTCCCCTCGTCGAGGAGGAAGATCCCTTGATTTCTGGATGACTTCGAGATGAAAGCAGCGGTTTTGGTTGCGATAGCTGCGGTTATACGGAAGCGGAAAGGCAGGATGTCTGCGTCTATGCATGCAGCGTGCAGCGTCAGCGGGCGTGGATGGCAGCAGGCCAGAGATAATCCGGACGTAGGTGTTGTACACTGGTGCTAACGTAGCTAAAAGCTAATCCGTTGCGATGCAGGTCATCTCCAACCCGTATAGAAGGCAACTGTCGATAACTGCACTTGCCACGTGAAAACGGATGCTGCGGTTGTTCGATCTATTCTGTCCGGAAATGGTCCGGATGAGACTCAATAGGCTGCGGCAATTTTTCTTGACTGCACTGAAATGCTTCGAAGGGTTCTCGGACGTTCCGAAATCAGATGACAGAACCGAGAGGAAGAAGATCAAGTTACGTCGGGAGTTACGAGCAAGAAGTCCTATCAACACACGATCGAGAACTACACACCTTAGCTAGGCAGGAATCTGCTGGAGCTGATATCAACTGGGTTGATTTCGAATGTTTTTTAAGTAAAAGTATTAAATTATTGAAATTATCATGCTTTTGTACTTTCAAGTTAGAAATTCTCAAGAAGGGAGACTTGTGGTATCCATCCTACTACGAACAATGTATGTTTAATGTGTAATAGGGTTAACTACCCCATTTCCGGCCTATTAAGCACAACCCGCACTTAGTCTTTCTTAATCTAGCTCAGTTTAGCACCAAACGGAATGTTATTATTACTGATGACTTTCAAATTTATTTACCTTTCCGTACGTACTGTAAGATTTGATAAAGAGAAACTAATTGTTGAGATATTGTCAAAAGTCTAAAACTGCTTCTTGAAGCCAAACTCGGCCTAACGCATTGAAACGCCTATGAATTCACTTCGGCCTATCGGATGAAGATAAAAATTGATTCGGTCGGAGCGCTTCTTTTGTTTTTGGGAATAATGGGTGCAAACCTTCATATCACGCGTTCTCATTGACTTCGTTCGGTAGAAAATTAACTAAAGTATCGTACCAAACGCATAATTGACTTGTTAACTCTGAAATCATGGATTTATTTGAAGTTTTCTGCCCGTTAGGCCCAAAATGGGCGATTAGGCCGAAGTAGTTCTCTACCCTACCTGAAACGATGCGAAAAGAGACTGAAAACCCAATCGGTAATAAAGACCAGATTAGTCGAACTTGAGCCGTTGACAAAGACGGAGACAAACATAGCGTTGATTTATTATATGAAGAAATATCTCCAATTAATTCCAAGTCCTTTTAAGCTTAGTCAGCTTGAACAGAATTATCATATACGACAGTTGGAACAGAGGTTGGAATTTCCGTTTTCATTTTCAAGCACAGAAGGGGGTCGTATTAGGGCCAGGTTTCCAGTGGAAAAACCACTGGTCATACTGCACCAGGGTAGAAATATAGATATGACATCACATGGGTCAAATGAATCCTGCATTAGCACTCCGAATACGGTGGGTAAAAAATTTTACACCGCGTCATATCTACTATTTGATGTACTGAATATCAAAATGCAAAAAATTGAAAATTGGCCATAGCGACCTATACGTCACATTGTTGTCACACGGCGGTGGCTTCCCCCCAAAAAATAGATAAACCCCTTCATACCTATCGCCATCCTCATCCACCGGATGCTCCTCTTCGTCTTCGTACTCTTGCTGCTCTTCGCCGTAGCAGTCCTGATAGTGACTATCGTTCCGTTCAGCTTCCTCCCCCATTGCCAGGGTAGCCGTCACGTAACCCTCCCCATCTTCCGACTCAGTCGTCGTCGCGTTTTCTATATCACTCAACGTTGGATATAAGCGGCCATCCTTCGGAGCCACCACCCGGATTCTCTTGACATCATCCAACGCGCACCGTACCTCTGGACTGACGTGCTCTTCGCCGCTGCGTCTCTTGTTGCCGGCCGAATCCCGTTGCGATGGTTTCTTCGCACTCAGGGTCAGATAACCCTCTGGAGGCATTGGCGGAGCACATGGAATTGGCTTCTGCTCGGCGGCATCCGTGGGTTTCGTAAAGCGGTTGAGCAGCATTGACATTTCTTGTTGACGTTGACGTCGGGTTTCTTCCGCGATTTGGGACTCCGAAATGGTACTGTTGTTGGACATCAGTGCCGCAAGGGTGTTTTTGATGGCCATACCAGTGGCGTTAGATTCAGTGGTTGGCGGTTTGTTGTAAGCGTCGATTTTTTGCTTTTGATACACGGTTGAATCTTTAGGGATGATGCCAAATCCTGCGCCCTGAATCGGTAAACACGAAGACGAAGGTTTGGGAGCACAGGAGTTGTCACCAGTTATCTGTCGAATTGAGGGAGAGGTTCCGAAGGCAGCGATCGGAACTAAGGCTTGACCTTTATTCTTCTCGAAGATAGCCAAGCGTTCCTTGAGAGACATTTCCGCGGGATCTTTTTGATTCCTAAGAATTGATTGGCGTGATTTAGAGCTTTCAAAAATTGCTGCCCTCCCCGATACGAGTCCTTTGCTGATTTCAGGCTTCTTCGCCGGGAGTTTTGTCAGTTCCTTCGGGACGACTTGACGTTCTCTGGAATCCGCCCCAGGCACTTCAGGAGCTCTATATTTCTTTATAGGAACCAGAGCCTTCTCATTTGACTCAGTTTCTTGTTTTTCCTGCTTTGATCGCTCTCTGTATTCGTACACCAACTTCGAGGTAGTCGATTCTCGTCTTTGAAATCCTTGTAACTCCAAAGCATCCATAACCTTCTGGTCCCACTTTAAAGTTTTTGTACCAGCTTTCCCACCATCTGTTTCTGACCCTTTTGCAGGACTTAGGATCGATTTAGGGGCAATAGGAGCCGGATACTTTTTAGGAGTTGTTCCAACCAATTTGGGAAAGTTCTCTTTCCGTTTAGGGCTTCTCTCCTGTACAGGACTCTTCTGTCTAACTGGACTCTTTTCCTTCTTGGACGTGTGGACTGTTTCTCTATGATGTCGAATGTCCGGGTGGGAAGTATCATCTTCCCAGTTGTTAATGGTATCCGCAAGCATTGCTAACTTTGCCAGTTTCTGTTTCGGTCGGGAGTTTTCTTTGCCCACAGGATATTCTTCATGGAATTTACCCTCGGTGCGATGCACCGGAGAAGACAGGTCCTGCGATTCCGAGTACAACGTTCCCATTCGTTGAAGTTGATTTCGGGAGGAGTCCCGAATCAAACTCTTAACATCAGCTTCCCTTGATTTGTCCTCCACCTTCCGGGTAATTTTTCCGTTTGAATCTATTTCACATTCCGCCACTTCCACCTCCACCTGTTAAAATCGATTTTCTTTTTATCAAAATCGCTAATTCAACGCAATTGAATACGCACCTGAACATTAGAGGCAGTAGTTATATTAATTTCCACTGCTACATCCACATCCTTTCCGGATCCGGAACTTGACTTCCGTTGTGTCTCTACTCTTGTAACATTGGGAGTCTCCTTTGGACGACTAGGACTACGGTCTGTTGCGGTTGAATTCTTTTTCGGTGTTTTAGTGTATGTTCCTGCGCCAGCAGTAGCCTTCTTACCCGGTGACTTCGGAACCACCGAAGAGGACGATGTACTCGGGATGTCGTAGTTGAGCTGCGACAACGGAAACTTGGATGTGTTTGTAATGCCCAACGCAGCGGCGCGTTTCTCAGCCCTCTCCAATATATTCTAATGAATAAAAAAAAAACTTTTTCATATTAGAATCTGAAAAAGAAGTCCAAAACCGTCATTTTTACCTGTGTAAACGGGTCCATTGTACCCCAAAGATTTGCAAATCAATGCAGTCAGACGGCAACGGTCGCTTTTCTACCTACAACCAAAAACGTAAAAATACCGCCTATCCCACAGTTTTTATAAGCACCTGCCCGGATTTCACATTCACTGCAGTCGGGATCGATTAATGATCGTTTTGTTTAGACGAAAAATAACTAAATTTCCAATAAAATCACTAATAAACAGCGCCCACAAAGCAAACTACGATCGTGAACCACCAACGGACTCTTTCGATTTGGCTGCCTGTTTGTAACAAAATTTAAAAACTTTTAGGAGAGAACGAAACGCAGCATATACATCAGCGTAAGCAAGAAAAAGATGCAGTAGTTCGTCCCATGAGTGTGCGACGGATTGTTTGAGAGTGTGAGTGCCATGGTCGTAGATTTTCTTTTTGCAATAGAGATGCGAGGCGATATTCGTAAATTCAAGGGGTCCAAAAACATGAAGGTGGAGAATAGTACACGGTAAAGCCAGGTACGCAGCTGAAAAGTAATGACAATCTGACGAGTGCACGGATGGATTTGAGTTCACTCACTCGACAAAAAGTGACACAACGGCGGGGCCCTGTTTACTAAAAATGAACACATATATGTTCATTTTTAGTAAACAGGGCCCCGCTGTTGTGTCACTTTTTGTCGAGTGAGTGAACTCAAATCCATCCGTGCACTCGTCAATAGGACACGGAATGCAAAAGAAATTACTTTTCCTCAGCATTTCTTGACCCAGTACGCAGTTCAAAAGAAATCGGTAAAGGAAAGATCGATTACATTAGTATCGTGATCGACATGAAGGTGGCGCATTCTGAATGCAATTTCACTTTCCTTACGGAATAATGGTCTGATCAATTATTCCGTTAGGTAATGTTGGCGTTTATTGCAAAACTGATGTTTTGGATGCATTTAAACAACATAAACACTAATAAGTGTTGATTTTACAATTTGACGACATCTCGCTATAATCTCAAAATTTAGCAGACTATAGCTGTCAAATTTTCTTTTGGGAAAAATCCTCAAAAATTACTTTTTCCGTTTTCTTTTCAGCTGCGTACCAGGCTTAACCAGCGTAAACACATTGTGTAAAATTTCACACATTTCATGAAAAAAGGGGTCTACTCATAAAATGTGTAAACTGCGTTTACACATCTATGTGTCAACTCATCAAACGTCAATAGAAGTGTATTTTTTACACATTTTTCAAGAACGGTTTTTACTGCAAAATGTGTAAAAAGTAATCATTCAAAGAAATTAAATATGATAAGGACGCATGGTTTTTTCTATTAATATCGGAGTTTTCTTATTTGTGTCAATGATAAAATAAAGGTTGATTGGATTCTCGGATTGATCCGGACGACGAATGTCCGGAACTATAATAATGATTATTTTTCTAGGGCTTAGTTATGAAAATAATATAAATCACTTACCCTCTAGCTTGTCCACCGTTGATCTTTTACAGTTTGGACCGTAGTTTCTACATTTTCTGTTAAAATTGGTGAAAGTTTTTCGCTTAGGCAAATGGTGTCCATCAACGAAACAGAAGTTTTTTTTACCCATTAATGAGTATAAAAATACAAATTTTTTGACTAATACTACATTCTTAAAATGTGTATTTTTTTACACATTTTAAAATCTCGAAATTTTCACATTTTTTGACAACTGCATATGAATATAAAAAATGTGTATTTTTTACTCATTTATGTGTTTACCGAGGTGTTTACGCTGGTTACCGTGTACCCGCCACTAGAATTGAGTATTTCCTATTTAGAGAAATTCTAGATAGAGCTGGAATAACGGTGAATGTCGCAAGTGTAAACAAACTGAGGTTAATGCATTACGTTCTACTACTATTGAAATGGTACAAAACGATGATAAAACATTTGGGAAAAATAATGTATATCCTTCAAAAAAACGCAAAAAAACATAAGGGCGAAACCAACTTTTTTAGTATTACAAATTGAGTTGTCTCTTACGCCCGTTTCATCCCATATACATAGATGGGGCGAAACAGACATATTTTATCAACACAAGGCGAAAGATATAATTTGAAGCTTTTCACTATTCCTTGCAATTACCCGTTGGTAATCAAAAGCAAACATTGTTAATCTGATCGAAATACACAGAAAAAAAATTGTTGAATATTACATCCAAACTGTTGCAACCAGGTCAATCCATCGGTTGTGTAATATAACGTTGTACGATGTACATCGATTTTGCGAACAAAATTACATCCACTAATGTAATATTGTATCTGCTTTTTGCTATTACATCATTATTTCATAAATCAGCTTGAATTACATTGATCGATATTACATTTTTTTTGCTGTGTACATGAAAAATAAGTGAAAACACCACAGCACATGAATTTATGTGGAATTCAAAAAAGTGCAAAAGGTTAATATAGTAACAAACCACCAGGAAAAAGAACGTAAACATTTAGGCGAAACCGACAATGTCAAAAGCTAGCAGGTGAAATATGGGGGCGAAATGGCTTCTGTGAACGTAGCCGGGCGAATTACCTCAGAACGATACAAGATACACAGCAAAAAAAAATGTAATATCGATCAAGTAATTCAAGTTGATGTATGAAATAATGATGTAATAGCAAAAAGTAGATACAATATTACATCAATGGATGTAATTTTGTTCGCAAAATCGATGTACATCGTACAACGTTATATTACACAACCGATGGATTGACCTGGTTGCAGCAGTTTGGATGTAATATTCAACAACTTTTTTTTTCTGTGTATACTTGTTATTTTCGAAAACAAAAAAAAAACGAGCAAAAAAACATCATGGCGGGAAAGAAAAACATTCTGGACCTGTATTAAAAAACCTCCAATCCAAAGAACTTCAATTATACCCCCTGAAACTTTAAAAAAAATACAATTTCCATACTGTTATTCCACAGATAAACAGACATAGCACATTGAATATTATCTGTTTCTTTGGATACAAAACACGCCGAAAACGATGCAGAAATCGTCGTCATAGGAATTTGTATGGCGATGATTTCTGCGTCGTTTTCGGCGTGTTTTGTTACCAAAGAAACAGATAATATTTCTCACTGTAAAATATCGTCGTAAAAACATTACCACCATCTGTTGAGTACACGGTGGTGGGTAGTATACTAAACAGATGGCGGTAGTGTGTAAACGTCAAACGCAATGAAATTGACTGTGCGTGCTTTTAAATTTAAGCCTAATATATAAAAAACCACCAATCCAAAGAAAATTAAATACGAAACCGGTAAGGATAAACGAAAGCAGCATCAGAATAAATCTAAAGATGTCTTGCAAGAAAAGCAAGACAACCCGGATAAAAATAAACCATTACTTTTTTTTGTATAACCCATTCGTATACTGTAGACTCTATTAGATACAATACGATATATTGTATTTTAATGACAAGACAAAATTTTTCCGTACACACCCAATTTTTGTTGCCGTAAACCAGCAAAATTTTGCTGGATTTTGCCGAGCTGGAAGTTCAGCAATCCTTTCAGCAAAATAATTTTGCTGGATTACCAGTAAAATGTTCTGTCAATAAAGTGACCGCAGATTGCTGAAAAACCAGCAAAATTTTACTGATGCTGCAGCAAATAGGAGGAGCAATTATTTTACAGCATGAAGGAATGAAAAATGTAAAAAGTGTGGAATTCAATGTGTGCACAATTTTGACGTAGAACTACGTCTTTGTCGACTATACTGGGGTGCAAATCAAAAAAATATGTGTGGCGAAGGAGTGTTAGGTTTTGAACGCTTGTAACTTTGTCATTTATAGATTAAATTAAAATCCAAATACACCAATTGATAGCATATTACATTACGAACCTTCTGAAATAAATATTTTTCCAATTTTTCAGTAACTAAACTTTTGAAAATGTCCAAATGATAATTTTATCACTGTTTTATGAAATAAATTTTAAACAATCCACAATTATGTATAAACAATTAATTTTTATAATGGAGAGCCAACATTTTCAAAAAACAATTTCTTAACAGGAGACATACACTCGATGGATTACCAACAACTGACTGTAAAACATATCTGGTACCTCTATGTATGCAATTATATTAACATCCAAAGTCCATCCTTTTTTACATATTCTGCACAAAAGAAACTTTTTGCTCCGCCCCATTCATAAAAAAAACGGCGTGAAATCCTGTCAGGTGCGGTTGCACATCGTTCTGCTTGATTCTGAAGATATATAAAACAGTGCTGCTGTCGTGCTTTTGCTCATTGTCGCCTCGGACGGCGTGCCACTTGGTCCTGCAGCAAGCAGGACCAAGTCAGTGGCTAAAGGTGGATCACGGCGTGACCACAATGAGGAATGCGACACAATGAGGAAAAAAAATGTTTGTAAACCCCCTCCCCCCTTCACAACAACCTCCCCCCCTCAACAATAATCCGAAAAAGACATGGAGTTTGACGATCACTTTTTTCCGGGAAATAAATTTTAAACAAACCCCAATTATTAGTAAAAACAGAAGTTTTTCCCTTAATTTCTTCCCGCACCATTACTTTCAAATTTGAGAAAAAAAAATTGCTTGAAAGACATATTCGATGATATTATGTTGATGAATTACACACCACTGACTGTAAAAGTAGTAGTAGTAAAAATTCGGTTATTTCTGTTGATTATGGTGTATACATTGATTTTACATTTCAATTGATTAGCCTATCTGGCTCTTCATCTTTGTTCATTGGATATTCTAATTTAGTATTTGCGTATTTCATCTAGTTTACAGAATACCCCTTGGAGGGTGTGTTTTGTTTTAATTGAAAAATTTGATAGCCTACCTAACTACGAGTCTAACTTAACTAACGTGCCAGATCACGTATGATCTCAGACAGGTGTCTCTGAACCTTTCCAAGGAGACCGTTCGTCGCTCTTCGAGGGGCTGAAGGCCAGCCAGGCGGTGAACCTCAGAATTTCGGGTCCTGGACTGTTGAGGATCATCCTAAGGATCTTGTTCTGGAGTTTTTATGTGTTCCACACATGAATTGTTGCAACGTGATCAACAAATCAATATCTATGTGTCGGCCACATACTTAATATATGTACATATAAAAACCATGCGTGACCACACATATACTATTCATTTGCGTATAAATTTCATGTTTACTTCTGAGTGGATTCTGTTTATGTGTGGTCAAATGAAAATCATGTGGAATTTCACATTAATATATTTGTCAAGAAAAATGTTTAAATTGTTTTGAGTGAACCATAACCGAAACATTGAAATACTTTTTTTTTTTTCCTTTGGTTTTCCGTCGATCTTGTTTTCCGTGCTGAGCACCAATGCTACCGACGTGCCAGGAAGGCAGCTCCCACACCTGGACCCTACCTATCGACCCATCAACTCATGAACCGGGGACCAACGGCTTTACTTCCCATCCGAAGGAAGGCGTGATCAGAGATGTTATGCCTCAGAACATCCCAGCGGCGCCGACTGGGATTGAACCCAGGCCTGCTGGGGTGAGAGGTAATCACGCTTACCACTACACCACCGGCGCCGTTACATTGAAATACTTGAAAATTTTAAGATAAAGTACAATAGTCAAAAATGCATGAAAAATATCAATTTCGTGTGGTTCTACGTCATACTGCGGTCGTGTCTAGGACACAACCGTTTAACTTTTTTTTTTCTAAATATCGTTATTTATTCTAGGCTTGTTTATTTGGCATCATGCATACGGTGTTTGGAACATACATTTTGTTGTAAGGTTTCTATAAAACAGGTAAACGCGTCTTCTGACCAATTCATGTTGTAGTTTTGTTTCGAGCTGCAAGCATAGAGATAAATTATATATTTTTTTTTTCATAATTTCAGCATGATTTTTTTTTAGGATTAAACGTTAAAAATGTTGCACTTACTTGTTGGTGTATAAGTAAACATCATTTTAAAGAAATAATGATGCTAGAATGTAGCAAATTTACTATGAATATTACAGTCTTGAATCAAACATACGAGGGAAACTGAATTTTCTAGCACTGACGCTTAATTTGACAGATCGAATACAATTTACTGAGATTCCAGCAAAATATCTCAAATTACTGGGATGGTCGGTGAAATGTGGTTTTGCTGGGATCAGTTCAGCAATTCATTTTGCTGGAACTTGAATCAAAATTTTGGTGTGTAGGGAGAGGACAATATATTAACCTTTCCTGATTAATTTATCCACCGCAGGTGCTTGAAATCATCATCCACTTGGCATATTTTGTTTTCTGTATCAGGTTTGCAGTGCTTCCATATATGCTTGATGAGAAAAATTAAGATTTATAAAATTGTCTCAGCGGTTATGATCTTCCGGATTTTTAACGCGTGCCCGAAACAAATAATTATAATTAAACAACGAAATTACAATGTTGAATTTCGAGTACATTAAAAATTATTGTTAAATTATTGTACGGGAGGAAAAATAGATTTCGATTTTTAACGATTCAATGCTCAAACAACGAAAATTAGTGTGATGAGATCAAATTTGTTTGAGAAAAATCACTTTTATATATTGTTAAAATGCTTAACAACCCTCCTTTTTTACTGTAAGTTTCTCAAATACCATAATTTCCATTGATGTGAACCATGAATTTCGTTATAATTTTATGGTTATAGACAAAAATGTCCAATGTTTTGACAGTGAATAACATGGTTACAATGACAATGAAAATCATTGTATTTTTATTGGATTTTTTTACGGGTGATTATTTCAGCTGTCAATCAGTTCAGATATATAGATAATCCAAAAATAAGACCACTCCCGAAGGCCCATGAATGGTTTTGTAACATCGATCAACTTTATGTGGAATATATCGCGAATTAACCACTTCATTCGAGCAGATGAAATGACGTTTACTACCACTCGAACTTTGAAATGAAACATTATTTTAAGATTTTTTCTTCTAGAACCTCGAGAAAAGTAGCCAACATTTGTGCGTTTCACAAAAAAATAGAAATTAGTTGGTCCAGTTTTGTGAAATCGCTGGTAGAAAGTCACGCCAAAACTGCTTGACAAAGTGGTCAATTGGTTGCCTGTAAATTAATAATTATCAGTTCGCGATATATTCCACGTAAAGTTGAGCGATAATACAAAACGATTAATGGACCTTACTGACTACCATAACCATAATCATTAATGTTTTCAAACCATAAATAAAAACGTTCTAATATAGTTCTCTTTCCGAAAATGTATGGAGAAAACAAGAATTTGGAATGGTAATGGTTCTTAACGGCCCATTATTTGTAAGGTCCGCTTCCTAAAAACCATAATACATAAGGTTAAAACATTATCACACAAACGTTCATGTAAGGTTCCAAAACCATTTCAGTTAAAGTTTAGGAGGGATTATAAACAATTTATAACCATTATCGGTAAGGTCAAGTGATGGTTTGCGTCTATGCGGGAAGGAGCCTATCGGCCGCTGTTCTTGATATATTTATAGCAGATAAAAGTTACCGTGTAGTCCCTCCCCAATCAAAACTGGCTGCGTGCGAACTAAATCTCATAAAATGTCAAACTGGTTGACAGCGGAATTTAGCCATTGGCTCGAATTCTGAAAACCCAAGCTACTGTTTACAAAAGTTAATATTTCTTCGCGTATGTTTACTAAAAGTTAAATTAATCAATATAAATTTTCATTTCAATCAATTTTAGTTAATTTAAAAGCATCAACACGAAGGATTCTTCTGATTGGATAACCGTCGGCCACCGGAACGCATCGGCATGAATGTTAATGTATGCGATGTGTAAGTTAACTGTACGCAATGTAGTATCACCATAATGGATGGAACTTGGTTTTTATTAATTTGACATTTTCGTCATTCTAGACCGAATAATAATCCAGCTACATATTGCCGGTTGTGCTTTTCGCAGACAAAAGTAGTGCCGATTTTCCCCTTAGGAAGTAACCACAATCAGAAATTAATCAATCAGGTCTACCAGTGGACCGGCGTTCAGATCAACTATCAGGAAGATTTTACCTGTGCAATCTGCTGGAAATGCACTGTTACTTTGGAAGAATTCCAGCGCTTTTGTGATCGTTGCAAGAAAAACGATTGGGTTGTAAGGCAGAAACGTACTGACGTAAACAGAATCGTTCAGAAAACAGATCACCACGAAAACAACGGAAACCAAATGGATGACCGACGGTTTGGGTACATGTACCCATTGATGCAGCCTACCTTAGGGTACGAGTTTCGTCTACCTAACGATCCGCGGGATCGAGCACCTTTGGAACATCCCCGATCGCTAGTTCGTGCCAACCATGAAGCACAAGCGTCCTCTTCCAATCACATGCCTAAAACAGAATCGAGAATAGATATTGATACTGAGTTTAAACATGTGCTACCAGTGGAACGACTTCCGGAAGAGCTTGTCAATATGTTAGATTTACCAGCTACATCATCGAAGAAGGGAAATACTAGTGTAGCAGTTAATGGCACAGGTATTGATGGAGCTCCAAAACAACGTAGCAGTCAGTATCAAAAGATAGTTGAGTCCGGCGGGGTTAAGTGTCCAATATGCAAGAAGCCTTACACAACGGATAAAAATCTCAAAAAGCATCTCCGTCTGCACACACTATCGCTGCCATTCACGTGCAATGATTGCGGTGCGAAGTTTTCCGAGCGTAGAGATTTCCAGAAACATCAGGAACGATACCATGGGCCGAATGCGACCGCTTCGGTGTCTGAAATTTTCCATTGCGAGTTTTGTTCCAGAGTTTTCACCAGGCAACGAGACATGACCAAGCATGTACGTTTGTTCCACGAGCCTCCTGAGGATGCAAAGTGAGTACAGTCGGTGGCCGGAACAGCTCTTCGGAAAATAAACATTTAAATAACGAGATGATTAAATGTAGACAAATATCTGTACAACCAATTGTGTAATAAATCAACAAAATTTCGGAGTGATTGAAGATTTTGTCCAATATGCCTTTCAAGTCATGTAGTATAGGTAACCTGGTTCATCTTGATGGTTGTTCATATTGACTCAGATCGAAACATTCTGGAGTTATGAAAAAAGGTAGACAACCGTACAAAAACGGTTAAGTGGCAAAGTTGGTGTCGTTAATCCTTTCATTAGAATAGACATTAGGCTATGAATGGGAACGGATTACTATTTCAAAGACTGTGCACAGGCATGGAAAATCATTTGCATTCATTTCGTGCATTCATTTGCCTCTAACTTTTTTCATCAACAGCATTCCACAAAATGATGTATAGAGCTTTTGTAGGTTTTATTATAAGCTACAACTTTTGCTAATAACTCAAATCTATATCTCTTATGCATCATGAATTAAAGTGGACATAACTTATTACTGTTTTTCAGTGAATGTAAAATACATTCACTGGAAAACAGTAGTGGCTTCTGTTCGCTCTGGTTCATCATGCATAAGAGATAAGGATTTGATTTGTTAACAAAAGTTATAGCTAATAACAAAACCTACAAAAGCTTTATACATCATTTTGCGGAATGATGTTGAAGAAAAAAAAAATTAGAGGCAAATGAATGCACGAAATGAATGCAAATGATTTTCCATGCCTGACTGTACATAGCAAGAAATCCCCTTTAGGTAAATCATGGGCCCTATGATGTAAGTCGTTTCGAGCGTCGCTTCTGGTCACTGGTCTAATTTGGTATTACAGAAGTAATACCAAAATAGACATTCACCAGTGATCAGAAGTGACGCTCGACTCGACTTAGATAAATAAGGCCCAATATATATTTTCTCGACTTCCCTGGCAGAGTAAATATCATTGTGCTTGCCACACAATCGACAAATTCTTGCATTGGTTGACATAGAAATATTTCAACTAACAACTGGTTAAGTGCTTCAAAGAATAGTATGCTGAGAAATAGTAAAATACTCGCGTAAGAAACGTCGAAAGTCAAGAGCTAAAGGAAGAAAAAAATCAATCTACGTTGAAAAATTTAAATCTTGATTACTTTTTCATAGGAACGTATCTGCTTTTGTTGTTTCATTTGATCGACGATTTGGCTACCACTTACGCCCACGCATGCTACCACAAGCTACCAGTTACGCAAAATCGATTATCAAATGCATTGTTTACAAAAGCTGATACGTCGCTTCGAAAAAGTAATCGAGAAATGTTTTAAAACTCCGAATAGTTTTCATAAAACTAATTATTTCCATGCACATACTTTTCTCTTGCGTTCATAACTCAACTGCAAAAAGCATTTTCTGTTTTGGTTGACCTTTTAGACGCTAGATAAGGACCTCTATTATCAAACTTCCTATGTGGCAAACATAGCAGGAAATGTGTTAGCACAGCCGTGGTTATCAAATTGAAAAAGTAGATGAATAGAATTGATCAATACCCAATGACCTTTTGAAATATTCAGAATTCAAGAAGAATTGTGTTTTATGTGAAGAGATGAACTAGCCTTCGGCTAAAAATTTCTATAATAAAGTTTAAAAAAAAAAGTGTATTAGGGAAAATGGCTCCAATGTTGGCCTATGGATCTAAGATTGGGCCCATCGTTTAAAATCTGCTATTTATCAATTTTATCTAGATGAACGCGTCATTTCGACGGTACTAATGGATATTTTTGGTCGCTATTGAAAATTTAGTCGATTACTGAATTTATGTATGGGCCAAAATTAGGGGCATTTAGGCCGACATTACATCCACTACAACCCCCTTAAAGCTGTTTTAGGAACCTCCACCATAACGCAGCAACCGCACCATGGGTTGCTATTCAAGTGTGGGATAAAACAATCTGCCTCTCGGCGAATCATCGGTGGTGTTTTTTAACGGAAAGTGTTGCGAAGACGGAACGAGAAGGAGGCGAATGAACAACGTATTGTACCAGCTGCTGGGAGAACCACTATCGTTAATTAGGTGACTACAGTTGGCTGGGCACGTCGTTAGAATGCCGAACGACGAACAAGTGAAAATGGTTCTCGAAAGTGGCCCAACTGGTACAAGGAGAAGATGCGCGCAGCAGGCAAGGTGGATCGACTACGAGGTTGGTGACGTGTGGCCATCGATCGAGAAGAGTGGAGACGACTCTTTCGAACAGCAGAGGACATCAAGCCCTTAGCCTGATTGGTAAGTATAGGATCTTCTGGAGGACCACCCTTGGTCGCTAGAGCACACATTTTGGTCTCCGATCCAAATTCATTCATCACAACAACGGATCACCACAAATTCGCGGAGCTCTGGATTTTTTAAAATGAATTTACCACTATTACGGATATTCTTAATATTCCAGAGAACCACTCCATAGCCGGAAAAGTGTACATGATGGCTCTAAATCCAAATTCATTCATGCAGCATTACAACAAGTGTCGTAAAAAAAAGCGGACCGTCTCGGGGTCAGCAGAGTGCACATGCTGGTCTTAAATATAAATTCATTAATATAGCACAACAAGTGAGTTAGAAAAACTCGTGGAGCTCTAGAATCATTTTTACGAATTGAACACTTTTACCCTGACTTTTACGGATGTTCCGGATCTCCCAGATGACCGATCTGTGATCACCAGTATGCGTATGCTGTGTGTAGGTTATACTGATGCAAAATTTGAAATTTTCGCTCCACAGTGCTCAAATGGTTCCAAATCGGGTCCTCATTAGCTTTCCAAAATGTGAACTCATTTGGTAAGAAAATGACTTGGCACAAACCATTTGAAGTTAATATGGGAATTACTATGGGAAATCCAAAATAAGTGTTCATTGTCTTCTTGCCATTTTCCATATTGCCCTGTTGAAAAGTTCAATAACGATTATTATAAGTCATTTTATCAGCTACAACTTTGCAGCAGATCGTTTTTCAGCCAATCGGTAATTATAATAGTTATTAATTGTTTAAGATATTGGCATGGCATGATCAAGATCTGCTATTTATCAATTTTATCTAGATAAACGCGTCATTGGGACGGTACTAATGGATATTTTTGGTCGCTATTGAAAATTTAGTCGATTGCTGAATTTATGTATGGGCCCAAATTAGGGGCATTTAGGCCGACATTACATTCATTTCCCCTATTATAACTTTGTTCGCTATATTTATCATCGGATAAGGTAAACTTTCATGATGGTGTTGGTTTGCGTAGCTTAGTATTAGGTCACGAGAAAACGGTTTCCAAAGTTTTGTTCGTAAAAGCGTAAAATCTTATATTTTTCTTTCTGCTGTTGGTCGTGATATGCTAGGTTGATTCCCCTATTTGACACCTCAATTGGTTCCCGAAATTCTATCCACCAGACTATAAAATTTATTTATTATTCAATATAGCGACTATAAAAATATATAATAGCTAATGTCGTGTTACCAAAATCGGGCAGCCACTGTATACTTAACTCAATTTTAGGTGAGATGCGAGTCGATATTATAAATAAAACATTCTAAAATTGTATGTCATTCGTTAGTCCTTTCTATATGTGCGATTATGGATGGTCCGAAAGTGAGGATAACAATAAACAAACAATATTTTTGGGTGAAGCGAAAGTGAGGAAAACAAACTTCTCACTTGAAAATGGGACTACGCAAGTGTGTGTGTTATAGACATCAGAAAAATCTTTACCGTCTCAACCGCGAGTGCGAGCTGAGTTACTTGTTTACTTTTTAATCCATGCCTAATGCGAGAGTGAGATACCAACTTTGAACCAGCAGCTGTCACCTGTCAAACCAAGAAAAGGAGAGCCACCTTCGTGAGAGGCAACGTTCGAGCATTAAACAAAAGTGGTTAAATTGCATCACTCCGTTTTTTGCAAGCACCGATCCCCACCGAAGCTCCCCCCCATCGGCAGTGAAGCCGCAGGTTGCATCTTTTCTACGAACGTGCCGTTTATCAGGTAAGTTTTAAGACCTCAAAGAACTAGTTCCTGTACAGCAGCAGGGAAAAGACCGTGACGTAACTACCCAATAGACTAAAAGTTTATTTGGATCCGTCAGCTACTATGATTTGACCTTGAATAGGGGAGACGAAACGAAACGTCACACGTGTCTGACGATGCGTCCCGTCCTGTCGTAATTATTGTTGGTCAGTGTGGTGGGGATACGCATACATAGGTTCGCGTTTTTATGGAATTTCAGTTTTCTTATCACTATTTGTATTTCATACCTATTATAAGTTACCCATCGAACTGATCAGTTTCATTTCGTTCTTACTCTGAAACGTTTCGTTGCAAAATGCAGAGATCTTTGGCAATGGTGAACCATCCCGGCCTGGAGGAAGACAGTGGCGATAAACTTGCTCGCAAGGCGCGTGAATCCCCGTTCATGCCGATTGGTCTGGCTGGGCTAGCTGTCGTGTGCGGTATCGGTGCGTACAAGTACAAAAACCGTGGAGGGATGTCCACGTCGGTGTTCCTGATGCAACTTCGTGTTGCAGCTCAGGGTACGGTGGTGGGCGCCCTTTCTCTGGGGTTGGCCTATTCAATGGCGAACGAATACATCTTCAATAAAAAACATGATTAGGGCCATACTTCGGTGCTATGTATGAGCTGATTAGGATTTAAGTTGTTTATAGGTAAGTGATAAGTGTTTGTTTGCTAAAAGATTAACAGACTAAACATACGACAGTATTATTTCACTTTGCTTAATCATTGCAATCAGCTCACAATTTGATAAAAGTAGATTTAATTTACAACACTTTGTAGTTTAAACTTTAAGTATCATATGTATAATAATTTACGTGTTCAAAGTCTTAATTGAATGTTGAACAAATCCTAGTAAATGTTATCATATTGCTAAAAGTTATTTGCGAATCTCATGTTTCTAGAAATATTATTCTTGATTATCTGCATTATAAAAATTTCTGTATTTATGTAACAAGTTATTCACCCCTATTCTATTCTATTTTTTTGTATGAGAATTTCGTTCGAAACGAAATACAGAATAGGGGTGATTGAGTTGCAATCCATTTCCAATAGACAATTCACTTAAACTGCT